AGCATGGCATCACTTGTGTCAGGGGTGCCTGTGATGGCCCGAGCACTTTGCCAGCAAAAACCAGCTTCTGAGATCTGTTTTAGGCTCTGACGTCTTCCTGAAATCCTCTGCTAGAGAAAATGGAGCTTGAGGGGCCATGCCTGGCCCTCGCGAGCTCCGTTTTCTGCTGGGACAGCCTCCTGCAACCCTCTGCCAGTGAAAACGGAGCTCAAGAAGGTCGTGTGTGGCCCTTATGAGGTCAGTTTTCCTTGGCAGAGGCACCACTGGCCAGTCCTTCACAATTTCCAGGGCAGCCCTGGGGGCCAGATCTAAGCACCCCATGGGCTGGATCCGGCCCCCAGGGCTTCAGTTTGATACCCCTGGTCTAGGGTCTCCTGCTTGAGCAGGGGGTTGGACTACAAGACCTCCAAGCCTCCCTTCTAGCTCTACTCTGATTGATTGAAAGAACAACTATGCTATGTAAATAGAACCTTGCACTGTACCAAATTTGGCCATTATATCAACATTCAGCAGAAACCAGCAGAAAGTGGTGTCCTCCATTGTGCTCTCCAGAGAAATATTACTTTTCCTTTCTAGGGAGAGACTTTCCCAATCCTCCAGACTGCTTGTTTGCTTTACGGCTTATTTATTTCTGCTAGTAATTTACTACAAGTTCATCTCTGGTCCTAATTTTATTTTATTTTATTGGGGAAAAAAATCCTTCTGAAAAAAACTCTTCAAAATATTTTATATTTTAACTGAATGCAACTGTGATTCATAATGAGTGGAAATCAGGTGGTATTCAGCAGGTTCTGACCACCGGTAGTAGAAATTTTGAATAGTTTGGAGAACCAGCAAATGCCACGTCTGACTGGCCCCCGCCCCCATCTATACTCTGCCTCCCGAGTCCCAGTTGATTGGCTGGGTCTTCCCCTGGAGAGGGGTCAGAATGAAGATTTTACACTATCCTTCCTCTGCCACTCCCACCAAGCCACGCCCACCAAGCCATGCCACACCCATCAAGCCATGCCTACAGAACCGGTAGTAAAAATTTTTGAATCCCACCACTGGTGCAAATAGCTATTTCACAATTTTAATATATGTAAGGCAGGAACTGCAAGTTATTTTAGTTTAACAACTGACATGTTATGACGTGTGAGCATGCTTTGAGTAAAACTGGACTTTGTTTTCACTTGCATAATGTGACACCTGGTCTGCATTAAAAGCAAGTTGCTTTAAAATAAAGTTTTATAGTTCATTCATTTTCATATGTGAGCCAGGATCTTTTAGGAGAAATAGAGGGATGATGATGTTAACAATAATGATTGCTTGTTTATTTATTTGTTAAATTTTTATCCCACCGTCATTATTTTATAAGTAACTCAAGACATAAATAATACTCCTTTCTCTTCCTATTTTCCCTTGAACAAAAACCCTGTGAGTTGGGCTGAGAGAAAATTATTGGCCAAAAGTCAACCAGCTGTTTATTCAAAAGGTAATGGGATCAGGTAATGAGTGAGTGATGGGTGCAAATTCTACAAGAGAGTACTTAATATATAAATATTTGATCCATTAGTATAAACTGTAAATAATATTCAGGAAATTTTGCTTCCTAATAACTGATAGATAAAATTTTCTATCATAACAAACTGCTGGTTGACATATAAAGCTGAATGTTGATAATGATTATTGCTCAATATTCTGTGCAAATGTATTACTTAATACAACATAGTAAAATCTTAGGGAGTTTAAAACAAAAGAGGTTAACTGGCCTAAAGTCACTCAGTGAGTTTTCATGGATGAGGAAGTAATAAGGGTAATAAGATGGCTCTCCCAGTCACATTGTTATTATGAAGAGAAAATGGAAAGCAGGAGAAACTGTAGAGATATGTTGCGATTAGTGCAATTTTAAATAGTGTGATATTCAATTTAGTGAGAATTATAAATTGATACCACAGCGCATTTAATGCGAGCCCAAATTCAGTTAATGCAAGGATAGCACATGTGCTGCTGCCAGTATTGTTTTAAATGCTAAACTAGGAGATGATTTCCACCGCACAAGGTTATTGTGTAAAAAAATAGGAGGAAAGTATGTTTAGATATACAGTATTTCCTATCTTACGTCATTTGTAAAAGTAACAAAGATGGGATATAAATAAATAAATGTAAATAAATAAATAGTTGCATTAGGAAAATAGAGGAGAGGAACATTCCATTCAAGGAAATGAGAGAGAGGGAGGGGGGGATGAGAGAGAGAAAGAGAGACCCATTTTGAAGAACTGTAACAAAATACAAGAGATTGCAGGCAAGCTTTGGATATAGGTTATCCTCTTTTACTGTTAAATAGTTCATTAATATATTAAAATCTGTGTTTAAAAATGATACCAATTACCCCGTTTTTCTCAGAAATATCACTTTGAATAGTGAGACTTTTAATAATATAACCATTTCTTAGGTTTGATTCTCTCTTTTTCTCTCTCTCCCCAACCCAAACATCTTTGCCTTTGGAGCCATTGGGTGTCTTAGGCTTCAATCTTCAATAATTTATATAGTATTCTTTCACTGCCATCTAGTGGTCCATTTGTCTAGACTAAAAAAATCAGAGGTTGCATGTATACAACATGCTTGCTATGTATACATGATCCCAAGTTTATTGAAATAATTAGAATTAGTAATTACTAATAAATTAACCACCCCAACTGGGCTGATGCAACAAATACATTTTAGCCTACTGAGCATTTCGAGAGAAAGATCCAAATCATAATTTGTTTCAATCCTTTGTTGAGCAAGCCACTCCAGATATTTAGGCAACATTCCCCCCCACCCCCACTATTTTTTTCTTCCTAGTGATTTACCACCAAAGTGCAGGGTCCTTTTTATGTAGAAGATTTTTTGGGGTTGATCCATTGATTTTGACAGAAATTAACCAACCGAGCTTGAAATCATGGGCTGAGTGACTGGTCCAAAGTCACACAGTCAATTTCCATTTCTAAGGTGGAATTACAACTCACTGTTTCCTGGATTCAAGCCTGGTGCCTCAACCATTAGACCAAACAGCTTCTTAAAGAGTGTGGTCAACCTGAGGGGGTCCTTGATGCTCCCTGAGCTTAGTTGTTGTCTTGCAGACATTTCATTACCCAAACTAGGTAACATCATCAAGGCTCTGCAACATCTGCAAAAAGGCAACCAAGCTCAAAGAGCATCAAGGAACCTTTCATTTCAACTCAGAACTACAAATACTCTCCTTTTATCGGTGTAGACTCGGGGTCTCCAATTTCTGGGCTGTAGCTGACTCGTGGGCCATGAGGTGTTTGCAATTGGGCTGCAGAGACGATGGGTGAGTGTGCGATGGCATCCCCACTTGCACAAGTAGCAGGCAAGAGTGTGCATGCACGCTCCATTTGTGTGAGCAGCAGGCGCATGTGGATGGTGCTCGCACAAATGGAGCTGTGCATGCCATCCCCTCTTACCTCCCCTCCCCCAGTCCAAAAGGCCAGAAAGTTGGGGAATTCTGATGTAGACAACATATCAGACTAAAATATGATTGTCTAATATTGCAAACCAGCTAGAAGCCAAAATAACATCAAAATGATGTTGCATGCATCATGTTGTCCCTTGTCCCCCTATGGTCCTGCCCTACTAGTCAGGATTACTTTATGGCTCAGTGAATTATATGAACGGAAGTGATTAATTTAATAATGCCCAATCCTCTTACTTTTTACAAGAGTCCTGAAAACATGTTTCTTGTTAATGAACCCCCTCTGGGATTTATTGTGATGATTATTAATAATGTCCCCCCCCCTTAACCCTTATCCAGGTCATTTTTGTTGTTGTTTTAAATTGTTAGGTCTTCTGTTTTAATCCTGGTAAACTGCCCAGAGTCAAGTGTTTAAATGCTGGTGGCTGGAGAAATCAAACTGATGGAGAAATGGGTTACACAGACACAGACAACTTAATCATAAAGCATGGGCTGTGGACCACAGTGTTGGGTTAGTTCTTTCCAATATCTGCATCCAATCAGTGGCTAATAATTGCACCTCTTAATCATGACCCTGAAAGATAAACCCACTATGGACTGGTCATTTGTAGGAAAGGGCAAGTTTGAGGCTACTTACTTCTTATTCCCAACCTGAGACTGGAAATACAACAAAACAAGTTCAAGATCTGCTGGGCCCACCCAAGGAGGCCCATCTGCAGAAACAGGCATTAAATTGCTGCTCCGGCTGTCCTTGTTCTGGTTCATCAGTCCCAGCTGAATTGACTTGTGCTTGGTGCAATTTGGCTAGACTCAGCAGCTGAAAAACATCAAATGGACATTACTGGGCCAATTTATGACAATATCATTTTCACTCTGGCAATAACTGAATGACCACTTATCATACAAAGGCTTTCATTCGCATTATTTTCATAGCTTTTGTTTAGAATAACTTTTCTGTGCAAATTAAACCTCAGGGAACTCCATTCCACCACCTTCTCATGGCAAGAGTTTTGATTAGTGCAGTGCACAAGCATTCCTATTTTTATTCTGGATCCATTTGACAGTTGTCAGAGGTTGACATGTAGGTTTGTGCTGGGAACTCAACAGATTTCTATGAACTGCTGTAGAAGTAGTCTCTATAAGAATGATTGATAGCTCTTCTCATAAGGCTTGGCTTCTGAGCCTTTGAAGGCACCTTACATTGCGGTTGCAACATGTGGATCAAGGGTCTGAGGAGTGTTATGAGATCCAGCGCTAGTGCAATTATTCCTGGTTTCCGATTCTCTGTGGAAACAGCTTTTTGGAACATGACCGTGCAGCTAACCATTTGATAGTGAAATGCTTAAGTTATTGCTTTCCCTCACCCCAGTTGCAACACTGCACTGTTTATTGAGTAAGTTTGGTTTTAGCGTGGGAAGCAACAATGAGCAAGGCGCTATCAAAGGGCTTTGCTCTCCGTAACAGTATTACTCGTCTCTTATTTATGCTCGACGGATTTTTTTTTTTTTTTAGAGAACTGCCTGAGCTATAGAACTGAATCGTTAGCGCGGCATTCCGCGCAATGTTTTCGGAGAAATAGTTTCTTTTGTCAACTCCATTTCTCCGCCCACCCATAAAAGCTGCAAAGAGTCGCCTCTCCTGGCTGGTTTACGAGGCTCCAGGACATTGAGCAAACTACGGTAACTGTTTCAAGGAAGCAATTAAAAGCAACATGGCCGCGTCCGTCTGCAAGGTGCTGGTCAGCCAGGCGTTGAGATCTCTCTGCTGTCCCGGAGGGAGGAGGATCCTGGTGAGGTAAGGACTCTCTTGTCGCCTGGGAACAGCTTTACAAAGCGTGGCAATAAACTTTAAAAAGGCTGAAGGGGGTGGCAGTTCCACTGAAAAGTTACTTCCAAGCGAAAGAGCCATCTAACCTCCCAGTACATTTAACTAACACTTTTTAACATTTAACACTGCCCCAATTATGACAGGCCTGACACTTCCCCCTCTGTCCCCCACTCTTCCTAAAATATAACGGCAAACAGAGGCAGTAAGAAGGGAGGAAGTTTATTAAAATCTGTGGCCGTAGATCAAACACAAGAAGAGAGGAGGGAGGTGCGCTGCAAGATTCCGGATGACTATTAGTGTTCAACAAATAGATACCCCAAATTTAACTCCACTATCAGTTAATAGTCGGCAGCATTCTTGCAGCCTGGAACAGGTAACCTCAACATTTGCCCAAAATGAATTGACCTGGCAGGAGATTTTCATCATTTGACATGCACAGCTTTTAGTAGGGATCTTAGATTTGGGTATGTTTCCAGCTTTGATTGTTTTATCACTAGCAATTATTATTATATAGCTGGCAAAAAACAGTAAAGCCTATCTTCTTTCATATTAATAATGAAACACTCTATTTTATGTAAATCTGGGGAACAGGACTCTTTGATTGGAATTGGCCTTGTTATGATCTGATTACAATTAGGAGCTGGTAGTGTGTCTTTGGTTTTTGAGCGATACTAATAATAATATTAGATAATAATAAATGTTCTCCGTATATGTTTTGGAGATATTCTGTGGTTCTGCAGCCTGGCTAATGAACCTATTTCTTTGAAGCCATGACCATTTTAGTAGTAGAAAACTCAAGCAAACTATTGTGATGGCTCAGAAGTCCTTTAATACAAGATCAAGGATGAAGAGGAATTCAGGAATTGAGTAGTAAAGAGCTGAGAAAAACTGGGGAGGAAAAATTATATCCAAAAATGAAAAAGGTTAGGTATGGAGTACCCAAACTGTGGATCAGATCCTTCTGTGGGGCTACAAGCAACTGGGAGTCATTGTTTTCAAAAATCAAGCTTGCACAAGCAACTTTCTTTCTTTCTTTCTTTCTTTCTTTCTTTCTTTCTTTCTTTCTT